TTGAGGATCGACATATCAACCGGGACATCACCCCGTTGCTGAGCTTTTCTGGAGATGTAGTCTAGCTAGTTGGCAGCATTCCCCCACCTCTTGCCATGGGCACCACCCCAAGGAAATCCTTCATCTACACCAATTTCTTAATCTTGGATTGCCCAACAACATATAACGTCATTATCGGCAGAACCGCACTGACCAAAATGAAGTCCTTTCTATCACCGCATGCTCTTACTGAAGTTCCCCACCAGCTTCGGCATATGTCAAGTCATCAGCTTAGCGCTCAAACATGCTATGCAGCTGCCTCTAAAGTTAAAACGAAGCAGCCATCTACCGAAAAAAAAAGGTTCTCCGCTTTAGTACCTAAAGTGTCAAACAGAAAGAGCACTAATATCGGCCAGATGACCCGAGGGATGAGGTTGTTACCCCTCAAGCCCAACCAGTGGAGGACGTGGAATCAATGACCCTCCATGATACCCAGCCAGATCTGCAGGTCCGCATCGACAGCAAAAATAATCTAAAATTCAAAAAATTTAAAAATGAAAAAACCATTTATATAAGGATTTTAACCTTGAGGACCATTTATAAACCCTAAACCCTTGATTTTTTTCATTTTTAAATTTTATGAATTTTAAATTAAATTTTAAAAACCCATTCATGTGTATTTAAAATACAATTTATATTTTAAAATAATGTAAAATTCATAAGATTTAAAAAAGAAAACCAAAATTTTATGAATTTTAAATGAAAAAAATTTAAAAAGTTTGCAAGGACCATTTGTGATAGATGTGTAAACCTCAAGGATGTTTTGTGATATATATATATATGCCACATCAGCAAACTAACGGAGTTTTTGACGGAACCTAACGGCAGGGACCATTTGTGATTACACATACTAACCTTGAGGACCACCAATGACACAAAAAAACATTAAGGATGCAATCTGATAGTTTCCTAAACCTTAGGGACCTTTTGTGATAATAAGCCAAAACAAAAAGCCTCCGGTGTTGCATTTGCAAAGTTTTTGCTATATTTTCTTATTGGTCGGTCAAATATATTTTACGAGAGCAATATGTTCATCAGATGAGATCATGAGAGTACTTTTTTTGTAAAAAAAAATATGGTCAAACTGTTGTTATTTTCTTTGTGATTTTGATAAATAAAAAAATAAATTCCTCCACTCCCCCTCCACAACTTCCTTGCAGCTATTTAGCTTATACTTTAAACAAAAAAAGAAAGAAAGACATGTGCTCTTCTGTTGCCCGTAATTTTATGCTGGACACCAGGAATAGTGCCAGGCTTCTGCAATTTTCTTATGGTTGATAATCGACACGTACTAAGTTTGGGGTCAATGATTACATGGTGCGTTGTAGCTAAGCAAAGTATATAATCTATGTATTTACAGCTGATCTATCTTAATATAAGATGCCGTGATGGACCTGCAATTCGCTTCAATATTGCATCACTTTCCGCCTTTCACTTCAGCACGTTGCCACCCATGCTCATACTGCAACTGCATGCCTTCATCTTCAATTATGCTAGATCTGGATGATGATGAGGCTGATTTTGTGATTGGCATGCGTTTTGATGAATATCCTTTGTTTTTAAATTACGTTTTTATGTCATTTCTTCTTAGAAATTTATGTGAAATCGACGTAATTTGATATTTGATCTTAAACAGAAAAAAAGGATGACTTTTCTCTACAACAAAAATAAATTCTATGCCACGCCAACGATGTGAGCTTCTTAGAAATTGACAAGTAACTTGATATTTAGTTACTAACAACAAAAAAGGGAAACGAAAAGAGGGGAATGAATTTTCTTTATAATATAAATAATTTATATGCCACGCCAACTTATAAGGAACAATGACTGCCTAAAAAGATTTTTTCTTCAATTGCAATAAAACAATAAGAAAATGATAATTTGGTCTACTATATACAAAAATGTAGCAATTTAAAGGCGATTATGAATTCAAATCTTATAATCAACTAATTCTTAGTTTAATGATACTTTTTTCTCAATATTAGAAGTTGTTTTAAGTTCGAATCCTACCTCATTTAGTAAAACGATAATCGTCAAGTAACCGGAGAGACCAAAAGGGTCATTTGGGACTCTGATCAACCATTAATTGCAGGCTTTCGAAATACTTTTCCAACTTGATCAATTTTGAATGGTATGTATGACCAATTCCTGCTAAGTGCTAACGCATCACTTACCATATTGTGTGATCTACTGAATATGCTCTTAATGTGACCAGCTATTATGTTAAGGCTCCCCAAATAGAACCTTTTTGTGCACAGCTTAATCGGGCCATATAAAATCTCCACTTTATTTGCGATTCATTTCAGAATCATATCGAACAATTTAATGGTAATTATCATTAAGGCCATGATCATGTCAATTATTCAAATTTGGAATAAATAAAATAAACTAAATAAAAGAAAAACAATTAGGGTGTCTGGTTCATGGGAAATGGGGCTTGGGATTGGGAAATGAAATGATTTCCCATGTTTGGTAGGGAAATGGTTGACTGGCTGGTATATGGGGGTGGGGAGATGCAACCCTCCACTCCTAGGGTTTCATTTTCCCTCCCCATGGGAAACTAACGCAACATTAAATGCAAATTTTTCATGACCATTTTGTCCCCATTAACAATTTAGAATTACATTATAACATTGAATGCATTTTTTTTTACTAATATATATATTTTTATCTAATTTGGGTATAATTGGAAAATTAAACAAACTTTGTTTTACATTCCTACACAAGCCAAACATTGGATAGGAAATAAAGTGGTATTTCCTCGTTATTTTCTCAACATAACTGAACATAGGAAATGGTAGCCATCCCTTGAAAAAAGACATGTGAAATTTTTTTGGGAAACCAAACGGGGCCCGAGTTCAAACACATTTTCCTCGTACATGAAGGAAAACATCAATTAATATAGTTGAAAGAATAAATAAAAACATCTTATCATGTACTTTAATAATTGAAACACTATTTAAAATAACTTCGATTTTGGAAAACTGTATAACTTGTGAACAACTGTCGATAGCATTACTTATTTTGGAAGTTACAATTCTAGAAGGTTATAAAATTTGGAAAAATATAAAATAGTTTAAAAGAAAAAAAAAAAAACCAAGAGGACATTCAACAGTTTCAAACACATTTCTCTACAAATTGAAAGGAAATGCAAAGATGAGAAAACAAGTAAGGTCACTCAAAAGAACAAAAAGAGCTCATAATGTAAAGATTTTATTGGGTGTTGTTAGGCTGATCAACCCATCAACATACGTGTCCAGATTTTATTGGGTTTTGTTAAGAAGTCCACTTGGCAGACCGCAACTTCAAATGATATTGACCTCATAGGATCACAAATTTGACTTGCAAACTATTTTTCTTTTTTTTTCTTTTTCTTTTTTTAGTAAAGACTTGCAAACCAATTTTTTGCGCCCAACCTACCCCCTACAAAAGAGGCGGCCCCACAAAACGTGTGCCGCTGTAATTCGATGAATCGGTAAAGGGTATTTCGGTCATTCAGTCTCTTCTACGGCTCTCCTCAACTGATTCTGAGATTCACAGAGTCGTATATATATACGTAGAGACTCTGCACCTCCGGTCTTTAACAAATCAATCCGTGGCTCTCTCTTTTCTCTCTCATTTCTCTGTCTGAATTTCTCTCACTCTCTTTCTTCGCTAGCCTCTTGAGGCTTCTTCATCCAAATTTCTCTGTCTCGGGGTTGGTCGATTCTGATCCAAGCCAAAATCTGTAAGTCAGCTTACTACTCTGTTTTCTGCAAATTGCATGTTTCATTTTATGTAGCCTGAGAATTGGATTTCTGCATTAGTTTTGTGTTTATGATTTTGGTACTTGTGAATTGGTAGATCTGTGATAGATATGCGGAATTTCAGTGTTATGTATGCTAATTAGCTTTGATTTACTATCATGACATTGCTTATTTTTTATCTGGGATCTGTGAAACAAGAAATGGTTTCTCATAAATGGGGATCAGATCTTCGTGTGTTTAATCCAAATGGGTTGAGTGATTTCGTATTGTCATTTATGCCTGAATATGCATGATCTGATATTTGATATATTGGGTCTCTTAGATTTAGTGAATGTTGTCCTGAATTTTGGTCTTGCTTGTTGTCTGGTGTTTGATATCGATTTGGGTCTGTTTACTTGCTTGTAGGTGAAGGAAAAAACATAAAAAGAAAAGTTAATGCTAGCATATCACGTTGGTAACTTCTTAGGATACTGATGAGTCATTTCTAAGAAATTGTACACGATGTGCTTGATTTGATGCTTTTGAGCTTTTAACGACCAACTTAAAGTAAATGTAATGCGTGATTTCACTTTTCTTTTGCTCTGTTTTGTGAGAAACCAAGGGGATCCGTCATTGAACTGATCTGTTACCTATGGTTTGACAATGTCCTACTGGTGCTATTTTAATTGCAGTTTTACGGAGGGTTATGGGATTTTTTAAAAGTTGTTTACATGTTTGTCAAACTCTGTGGTCGATTTTCACCTGTTTATTTGTTTTGGTGCATATCTTTATGTAACTTCGTATTCTCATTTTAGTCTTCTCATATTGCTTCTGTAGAAGGTTCCTTGACATGGGTTCATATACCCCCAAGAACATCCTCATAACTGGTGCTGCTGGCTTCATTGCATCTCATGTTGCCAACCGGCTCATCCGCAGTTACCCTGACTACAACATTGTTGTGCTTGACAAGCTTGACTATTGTTCAAATCTGAAAAACCTCCTGCCCTCTAAATCATCACCCAATTTCAAGTTTGTTAAGGGGGACATTGGCAGTGCTGACCTTGTCAACTATCTCCTCATCACTGAGTCGATTGACACCATAATGCATTTTGCAGCCCAGACCCATGTCGACAATTCCTTTGGTAACAGCTTTGAGTTCACAAAGAACAACATCTATGGAACCCATGTTCTGCTGGAAGCATGCAAAGTGACTGGCCAAATCAGGAGGTTCATCCATGTCAGCACAGATGAAGTCTATGGTGAGACTGATGAAGATGCTGTTGTAGGAAACCATGAAGCATCTCAACTCCTCCCAACAAATCCATACTCTGCAACAAAAGCGGGAGCAGAAATGCTTGTTATGGCGTATGGCAGATCATATGGATTGCCTGTTATAACGACCCGTGGAAACAATGTTTATGGACCAAATCAATTTCCTGAAAAATTGATTCCAAAGTTCATTCTGTTGGCCATGCAAGGGAAGCCTCTTCCAATTCATGGGGATGGCTCTAATGTGAGAAGCTATCTATATTGTGAGGATGTTGCTGAAGCTTTTGAACTCATTCTTCACAAGGGGGAAGTTGGCCATGTTTACAATATTGGAACAAAGAAGGAAAGGAGAGTTATTGACGTGGCCAAAGATATATGCAGACTTTTCTCAGTGGATCCAGAGACAAACATCAAGTTTGTTGAAAACAGACCTTTCAATGATCAGAGGTATTTCCTAGATGATCAGAAGCTGAAGATTTTGGGGTGGTCAGAGCGAACTATATGGCAAGAGGGGTTGAAGAAGACTATAGAATGGTACACTAAGAATCCTAATTGGTGGGGTGATGTATCTGGGGCACTGCTGCCTCATCCACGAATGCTGATGATGCCTGGTGGGATTGAGAGACATCCGGAAGGGTCTGAAGAGGAAAAATCTGAATCTTTTGTCCCAAGTAATACCCGAATGTTGGTTCCACCTTCCAAAAGCTGTAGCTCTCCTCGTAAACCTCCCTATAAGTTCTTGATCTATGGTAAGACTGGCTGGATTGGGGGTGTACTTGGAAAGCTATGTGAAAAACAAGGGATTCCTTTTGAATATGGAAAAGGGCGTCTACAGGATCGATCATCACTTTTGGCAGATATTCAGAATGTCAGGCCAACCCATGTGTTCAATGCTGCTGGTGTGACTGGTAGACCTAATGTGGATTGGTGTGAATCTCATAAAGCAGAAACAATTCGAACCAATGTTGCTGGAACCTTAACCCTAGCAGATGTTTGCAGAGAGCATGGACTCTTGATGATGAATTTTGCCACTGGCTGCATATTTGAGTATGATGCTAAACATCCAGAGGGTTCTGGAGTTGGGTTCACTGAAGAGGACAAACCCAATTTTTTTGGTTCGTTCTATTCCAAAACCAAGGCCATGGTAAATTCACTCAGACTTCCTGGTTTGATTCGTTATTCTTCTTCTTTTCAAGTCTTACATTTTTTGTTTTGTATATTTGTTAATCAGGTTGAGGAGCTGTTGAAAGAATTTGACAATGTTTGCACGCTCAGAGTGCGAATGCCCATCTCATCTGACCTGAACAACCCTCGTAACTTCATCACTAAGATTTCTCGTTATAACAAAGTGGTCAATATCCCTAACAGCATGACCATCTTGGATGAATTACTACCCATCTCTATTGAGATGGCGAAGCGGAACTTGAGAGGTATATGGAACTTTACAAACCCTGGGGTCGTTAGCCATAATGAGATTCTGGAGATGTACAAGCAATACATTGACCCAAAGTTTACATGGGCAAATTTCACAATTGAAGAGCAAGCCAAGGTTATAGTTGCAGCTCGAAGCAACAATGAAATGGATGCATCCAAGTTGAAGAAAGAGTTCCCTGAGTTGCTACCAATCAAGGAGTCGCTGATTAAGTATGTTTTTGAACCAAACAAGACAAACTCCGCACAATAAGCAAATCTCAGTTATAGACCTCAGGATTAACCTCTGCCTTCCGCATTAGGTGATATGCTATAGATTACCTCAATTTAGTTTAATCAGTATCACTCATTATTCATTCTTAGCCTTGTCTCATTATTTCTTCTGTGCTAGAGGTGTTGAGTATGATTTTACCAAGTGTGCTTCTTTCTTTTCTGTTTTCTTGGGTGTATCTTAGTTCCCTTTGCGTTCCATTTTATAAGAAACTTTGAACAGGTTCCCTATAGATGATTCTGTAATTTTGCATTCAGTTCAATGAACATGTGGTGTTGCATTCTGTCCTTTCGAGCTCAAGAGTCAAAAGAAAATCCAGGGAGAAATCGTCTAAAGCTTCGTAGTATTATTATTCATGCATGGATTTTAATTTCAGAATCAACGCGTTCGAAAGAGTTTTTGACACTGTCAACCAAAGATGATCTGAAATAGCTGAAAATGTTCGTTGGTTTTTCTCTTCTTTTATTTGTAGCATTTGGTAGAAATAGATAAGATTAATTTTGGAGTTTATTATAATCGAAATACTAATTCTGTTTGCTTTTTCGTCTTAATACTCAAAACTTTGGGGAAAGTATACCATTTTTATGTTAACAACTTAACACTGCTCCGATCAATGTACTTTTTATGATACTAAAATTTCCAAGTAAATTTATTGGTAGGAAAAGTTTGCCAATGGCCTTTCAGTCAGAGCAATACTACTTCCTACTAGATGTGTGAATAAATTTGCCAAGAAGATGAGATGAAAGGTTTTTTGAAATGGACAAATGAAAAAAGCAAATAAGGGTCGAGGAAACCTCTCTCAGAAAACACAATAGTAACGTGGATACACCTTGTAAATGCTAGATAGTATAATGCCTGCCATTTATCCCAGACACTAGCAGCAGCCAAACTTCCTAAAGCTTCAGCAAAGCCTTCAACTAGATGCAATGTCGTCGGATCGGAAACAATTTCGACTGTTCTGTGACATGTACAAATGCTCGATATATGCTTCAGTCTTCAGATGTTGTTGTCTCATTTCTGAAGGAGTTGGCTGGTGCATCTTCAGCAACCTCTTCATCTCCAGATTGAGAGATATAATGCTCTCAAGTTTTAAAAAGTGTTCATCTTGAGACTTGGATGAATAATTACTTCGATGGTGAAAATTATGTAAAACTTTGACCATCACTGTGGTTTAGATTAATAATTACTGCATATTCAAGAAGGATGCTCTGCGTTTCTCATTTTGTTCTCCCTAAATCTTTGACCATCACTGTGGTTTAGATGCCTTTTCAGTACCTAATCTAAGAGTAAATCTAATATTTCAATTGATGGCAAATACCAAACATCAAATTTAAATTTGATGGCTGATATGGCAATTTGACATCCTGCATAGTTTTACACCCCACCCAATATGTCAAATTAAAATATTATTTTATTACATTAGTGCTGATTTATTTACTTTCTTAAATGAATGTATTTTTATATTTTAGTACTAAGAGTAATTCATTAATCAAGTTAAAATACTTATAAATTAATTATAAAATGTAACATAAATATAATTAAACAAAAATAAATCATCCATCTCCACGTTGGTCGATGAAAATAACATAAAAAAGATCAACATAAATTTTCAACGGTAAAAAATTCAATAATATAGTGGTGTCAAGTGACGATGACAAAGGAAAAGAATTAAAAAGAAAAGGGAAATTTGCACAAATACCACCTGAACTTTCAGGCATGTGCGTCATTACCACTTAAACTTTTAATTTTTATTTTTAACCACCTGAACTTTGTAAAGTGTTGCAATCCACCACCTACGTCTAACTCCGTTAAAATTTCCATTAAGTTTAAGGGTATTTTTGTCAATTAACTATAACAAAAAATAATTATATAAAAAAACAGAATTAAAAATACAAAAAAATAAAGCTAACCTCCATATCTCTCTCTCTTCTCTCTACTCCATCGTTTTTATTCCACCAAATATCATATTAGATTGCAATGGTCCATTGATTTTGTTGCCTTCCTGTATTTCCCCCTTTTTTTTTTGCCAAAGCCTTCCTGCATTCATTTCATGGCTTGCACTATTTGTTCAAAGGTTTGTCCTTCATTTCAATGGAAGTTTGCATATCGGAAAAAAAAATTCATACTGCAATTACTCTCTCTCACCCTCAATCCAGCAAATTCAAAAAATTTAACATCAAAGCTAGAATTTAAATTTTGTGACTTCATCATGGGTTTTGGGAAGGAATCAATTGCGTTCCTAGTATATATAAATATCCCAAAAAGGTACTAAACATCTGCAATTGACAAACAAGTTCTAGGAATGCCTAAATTCAAGTACCAAAACACCAGTGCAGTCCTTATACAGGACATGCCTATAATAAACTCCAAATTAATTAGAAAACATAAATATAACCAAGAAATTAAGTCCTCTATGATCTCTAAATCTTTGTCTTCTTAGCAGGAGACTTGAGCCTGATTGGACCTCTTAAGCTCTTCACAGTAATCTCTAAGTATGGAATACTGCTCTTGGTAGGAACCCTCAAGCTTCTCATTTACTATTGATCTTGCTCTATATGCTTTCCACCTTGAGATTTCTGCCATATAATCTTTCCTCACCATAGCTTTCATTGTCTTCACATCCATTTTTGGATTAATGGATAAATCGTCAGCATATCTCTTTACAACCCTCAATAAATCCCGTTTTCAAGGCTGCAAAACATATGTATAGCCTATGAAATCTGACTTTCTCACCTTCCAATTCCGTTTTCAACATAATTGTACTTCCAAGATTGGACCTCTTAAGCTCTTCACAGTAATCTCTAAGTATGGAATACTGCTCTTGGTAGGAACCCTCAAGCTTCTCATTTACTATTGATCTTGCTCTATATGCTTTCCACCTTGAGATTTCTGCCATATAAGCTTTCCTCACCATAGCTTTCATTGTCTTCACATCCATTTTTGGATTAATGGATAAATCGTCAGCATATCTCTTAGCCAACCAAGTAATAGTCACACTTGTATTGTTTTCATCAGTTCCACATGTGTGATTTTGAACTAATGTTTTAACATGTAAAGGGGAATGTCTGTCAGACATGTCATTAGAAGAAGCATACACAGACCAAGGGCATGGCTCAGCTTTACAAACAGCCTTAACCTTATACCAATCATTTATTTTGAACTTGTAAGACCTGCAATGGTTAACAAAATGCCATTTCACAGCTTCTTTGAATTCCTTGGCATTTGCAAAAACCATCCCCAAATGAAACTCTATGGTTCTAATATCAGTTTCTCTCCTAAATTGTTTAAATTTTGACAATTTCTTCTTCATCCTTCTCCTATTCACTGTATTTGGTTCTTCATCACTAGATGAGTTCCCATCTAGGCTTTTAAGATCTTCTGAATTGTATTCATCAAACTCTTGCTCTTCTGGTCCAATCTCATTTTGTATATCTTCCTTGTTAGAACCTTCTACATTTTGGTCATATATGACATCATCTTCATTTTGCTCAAATGATACACCAAGCCCTTCTTCATCTTGCTCATAGTCAGAATCAATAAATTCATCATCAGATTCAGTGGTTGCTTCCTCTTCTTGTACATCCACATACACCCAATTAAATTCTAGCACATCTGATTGAGGAAACTTCTCTGGCTGAAGTGTGTTACTTTGCTGCCTCTCAGTTTGAAATATATCTATTTGCTGCACATAATGGTTATTAATAGATGCCTGACTCTCTAGAAGCCCACAAGAAATTCCATGAGAGAAATAAATGACAACAACTCTACTCTGAAGCAAGTTATCAAACATGTTATTAAACACCTCGTCATTTGTAATACAAACCAACTTACTTTGCACCCCATTTACTCCCTCTGGCACTCTATAGTAGTATCCAACACGTTCTTGATACCCCAATTTCTTTGCAAAATCATCAAAATCGAAAGGTGACATGTAGTCTCGATTTAAGTTGTCTACCCAAACCACACTACCACCAGAATAAAAGTTGTATCCATTACTTATGTCTTGAAGTTGACCACCATGGTGTATTTCAGCAGTCCACAATGTTGGATCTAAACCCTCTGTGTATAGAACATTGAACAAACAAAAGTTACCACTATTTTTAAATTTTCAAAAATTTAACATATATATCCACATTAATACACTATACATGATCGTAATTTTCATGTGAATTAAGTTTTATACATGCAAATAACAAACAAAACATATAATTTTTCAGAACTATCTTCATAAACCAAATAACAAATAGGAGCTGCTCCTTTTTGTTGAACTAACAAGGCAACGTTTTTTATTTTATTGAAGTACATATATATGTGATGTGTGAGTCACAGCATAAAATATAAATGTGAAAATTTGACATATTCGACAAAGCCCCAGAGACACTCAATGCAAATCTAATTGTTAAGCTATCATAATAGACAAAGCAAACTACAAGATTAAACATCAATAAAAAATTTAAAGTTACAGTAAAGTTAAACAATCAAGAAATTCATAAAAACACATGAATTTAGAACCACTATTGACCATAAAACGTTAAAAACTCAAACGTATCAATCAACACACACTTACAAAATAATTACTGAACAATCTAAAAAGTATAAATACGTAATTGTCGAAGCTTACTGTAATTTGGTGGCTCCCCAGCGTATATGAAGTTATTGTCCATATCAGTTACTTCAGTCCTCAGTTTGCTACTCAATTTCAACAAACCACACAAGAGATGCCAAGAGACAAAGATGAATATAGAGTATGGTGTGTGCAGAGGGTGGGTTTTGGGAGGGTAGGTTTTTTTTTTGTAGTGGAGCGAATTGATGTTGGAAAATTTGGAAAAGTAGGAGTAGGTGTAGGGAGAAGGCGCTGTAATTAGGTTAACTTTTTTTTAAAAATCTGTTTTTTTATATAATTATTCTTTGTTATAGCTAATTGACAAAAATACCCTTAAACTTAACGGAAATTTTAAGGGAGTTAGACGTAGGTGGTGCATTGCAACCCTTTACAAAGTTCAGGTGGTAAAAAATAAAAATTAAAAGTTCAGGTTGGAATGATGCACATGCCTAAAAGTTCAGGTGGTATTTATGCAAATTTCCCAAAAAAAAAAATAATGAAAGTATATAATGACAGCAGATACATGAAATAATAACAAGAAGAAAAAAAAATTTGTCCAAAAAAAAAAAAAAATGAAGAAAAAAAATATAGATAAGTATTAAATGAAATGATAAAGCCACAACCAGATGGACAAAGAAATAATAAATTAATCAAAAGACGTCTCTAGCACTTGACGGCAATTTTGACAGCAGAGGCTTCATGCGCCATTCCACATAGACTCTAGCAATTTGGTTGGAGTAAATTTCAGCTGTTATTTTAATCCATTAAAAGCGCCACATAGGATTTGACATCACCTTTGGAGATGCTCCAAGGGAGTTGTCAAATACCAATCATCAAATTTAAATTTGATGGTTGATGTGACAATTTAACATTTACACAATTTTACACTCTACTTGATATATCAAATTAAATTATTATTTTATAACATTTTAGTGTTGATTTAAATTGGAAATAAATTGGAAAGAGAAAGAAGGAAAAAAATTGTAATAGTCAAATCATTCAAGATAAAGAAGAAAATGAATAATAAATGAAAATAACAGCCAACTGTCTTTAAACAATAATAAAATATTCATTTGACATCTTACTTTTGGGATGTCAAAAGTAATGGCTGAACCACTTCTAGCCTTTATTCCACATCAGCTTTGTCAATTTGGTTGGAGTGATGTGAGATGTTATTTCTTGGTTGAAGATGCTCTAAGTGAAGCGAAGGTACACTTTCCGAAAACTTGAGAGCATTATATCTCTCAATCTTGAGATTAAGAACTTGCCGAAGAGGCACCAGCCAACTCCTTAAGAAATGAGACAACATCATCTGAAGACTGAAGCAGATATCGAGCATTTGTACGCGTCCGCCCGACGGTACAAGAGTAGTAGTTCTCCCTCTTTAGGTCAAGTACATTCCATGAAGTCTTCTCAGGAGACGGCCATCGTGCATTCCCATTGCTGTGAGTCGCATTCTTCTCAGGATTTAGTAAAGGTCGTTGTGTCTTGCTCTGAGCTGATTTTGAGGCACTTTTATTTGATGGAACCTTCAATGAAGATCTTCTCTCACTAGGTAACTTTTGTCCATCAGTCATCTTTCTCGGAAGGCCCATCTGCTCAGGCGGAAGATCCGGCTCAAAAAAGGTGTAAACATCTTCATCCTGAAATGAAGATGAACAAACACCTGAATCAAAATGTTCTCCATTTTCCACAATTGGGAGTTAAAGCACATAAAATGAACTACAATCCCATGCTTGTCGGTTGGTATTAAGGATCAGACGATGCAAAAGTGGAGCATTTTGATGGGCCTGTAAAGAACCTTCAAGAAAATACTGGAAAGTAACTTAAAGTTGCTAGCAGATTCTGAGTGTCTGAAGAACCTTATTTGAAGAATCAAAATGTGATGGTATAATTCCTCAGATCAGAAAGGAAACTTATAACACAGATATGTGGGGATCAGAGATGAGGGAAGGCATGAATTGTGGGATGGGAAAGTTACCTTTCCAAGAAAATGTCCAACACACAGCACATAATCAATGGGTGTTGTCATAGATTTACTGTGAACTATCTCTCCCAATATACGGTCAATTGCTGCACCCTGAGTTGATAAAGAAAACTGTCAGAAAAGAAAACAAGCAAAAAACTGTAGTATGAAAAATATAAATTTTATTAATGTAATATTTTTTGTTAAGCATTCATGGATTCACCTTTGTGACACCAACTGGTCGCACCTCTACAGACCGGCTACCTTGAACAACATCAACAGATGCATTAGAAATTGGACCAGTCCAGAGATGCTGCAGCATATCTCTTGCTTGAAGTCTTCCAAAATCAACATCTGTGATAAGATGATAAGAAACAGAAAGAGTATATAATAAACAAAAGTGCACTTGTTCAAAAGACCATCTTACAATGGAAACGGGATAAAACAGAACCATTCTTTTTTTGGGTTGAGGGTTCAAAATTTTTTTGTACCTGCATATTTATAATTCCACACAAGTGAAGTTTCACGGTCATCCAAATGTGACCGGGGTGTTCTCTCCGTGAAATACTCAAAAACATGCTGAAAAAATAACATCAGCATTGTAAGTTAGAGGAGTCAGGATTCAACCAAACAGAATATAACTTTAATTCAAGACTCAAGATCACCTTCACACTCTCAACCCATTCCATATTCAAATGTTCGGGCATTGTTGTCATCCATTTTCCCTTCGTTAGGCGCAAAAACATCCCATTTTCAGCTGCCAACCACATGTCAAGCTCCCCGAAGTTCTGTAAAAACATTCTCTAATTAAAAAGGGGATAAAGTAAAGGTGGTAAAGAAATTAAGATGTGGAGATGGATGAAATACATCATCTAAAACATATGTGGCACTCCCGCTGAGAACAACAATAGTTGTTTGTGGATCATTGCAGAGTGCTGACAAGGTTTCTTTCAACTCTGGGTGCAGTTTAAGTTCCATTTCTTTTATTTGATCACCTCGTCTCTCAGGTGTGTCCACTGGTTCGGTTAATGTTGCGTTGAATCCCTGAGTTCGAATCACCACAAAGATCAGAAGAAAGAAGAAGAAAAAAAAGTCTATCAAGGTTGAATCCACGAAAGAAATATTATTGACAGAAGGTAAGAGTGCCTACAAATGCTGGAGGAGTTGCATATTACTCAAGGAAGAAAATCAGCACTTTATAGTTATGGGAGAATCGACAAAAAGGAAGTTACAGAATCAACCAGAAAGTAGCTGACAAACAACTTAACAGTATGAAAACCAACCTTCAATTATTATTTTTTGGGTCAAAACCCTTCAATTATAAGTCTTAAAAATAACAGGGAGAAACTGGTATCAACTAAATGCACATTGGTGAGACCAACTTGATGTATTATTAGCTACTAAATATGTCAAGCATAACAGCAGAATGACCTGAATTATATGGAAGCAACTTTTATGCACTGCTGGTATACTGGGCAAAGTAAAGGCATAAAAAAACCTTTCAGTTGGGCAGTGAAATCTTGGTTAAGACATTTCTATGACAACTGTCCATTACGTGCATCAGGCTTCCTAGATTTGACAAAGTATACCATGCAGATCTCTTCAAAGATGAAAACCATGCAGATATGTATGATATTTAATGAAGAATTTACTAGAGGTAAGAACACCACTTCTTAACTGGGACATTCCCATAACATACCAGTATGATCAATCGATTACTTGCTTTCGAATATCTTTCAATTGCCTCCTTGTTTGGAAGTGGTGGTGGCACCTGTCTAGTCCTTATCTGTGCCTCTACGACAGTGTCGTTAAGTTCACTGGAAAATATTAATGCGAATATCAAATCTCAGTAAGTAATTTGTCTGCCATGTCAATTATGTTGGTTTACCATTGTGCCAAAAGCTTAAGTTGTTAGCACACAGCACAAAAATAATGTCAAGTTCTAAGAATTATGACATGTTGAAACTCAAGCATGCATACCTTACAAACGTTTCGGCCCATTCCTGGGCAGTGTGGGTTGCCACGTGTATAAAGTTATGCTTATGCCGCTTCTCTCTTTCTTCAGAGGCCATATTTAATGCTTGGGCAATTGAATTGGCAACTTCTGTGATGTTCCACGGGTTCACTAGAATTGCACCAGCACCTAGAGACTGTGCGGCACCAGCAAACTGCAAAATGAATTGGAAGTGTGAAAAGCTAGAAGAAAACAAGTAATAAAAATTAGTCGATTTATCTGTTCCTTGAATGTCAATTGCACAACTAGCATTGCATCTGATACAACCTTAACGAAATAAATGCTAAACACAATTAAGTGAGAGGTTTTACGAGAACCAACTAAACATGGGTTCAGTATCTCAAGCTTATTTGATTCATGATCTCTATCTTCTTACATTATGTACTATTCTCAACATTGAAAATTATAATTCAACACCAACGCAAATTTTCCACAAAGAGACGAAGATATTACCTCACTAAGAATGAGGACCCCTTTCTTTGCATCTTGGCATGCCACAAACTCGTAACTGACAAGATTCATTCCATCTCTCAGGGATGTGACAAGTGCTACATCTGGGCGAATTGCGAAAAAAAAAACCAGGGAAGAAGAATTTATTAGCTGAAGAGTTACATATACATTTTCTTACAGCTAAAAATGTTAAGTTCTGAATAAAACAAAACTATAGAAATCAGGAAGAGCACAAAAGGATTTTCTGCCATTAAGGCTTATGGCTTATGTTGAAAATTTGGTTTGCCTGAAAAATTCTGGATCAAAAGAAACAGGGAAATCCAGAGTATGTAGAATAATAGTACCTGTAACTGCATATAGTGCACATAAAGCATGAAAGTCAAGGGAACGATCCTGTAGACGTTTAAAGAATTGTTATGGGAAACATTCCATTAAATTACATGTGATAGGTCTTGAAACTTGATATAGATGAACGATAAAAATACTGTTATGGTTATGGAACAGGCACTACTAAACTCCTATTCCACCACATTCTTGCAACCCTATCTCTGCCATTTTCCCACACATATGACATCAACATCCTTCCTAGTAAATTCCACTGAACGCCAAATATGACCTTTGAATAATATATCATATCATGGAATAGTTACTTAAGAAGTCAAGCGCATACCAGGTGATGTATTGGGACAGCAGTCAAAGTTCCAAATCTGCCATTAATTCGCCCAACAATTTCATGAACCTGGCTTGTAAGTTTTTGATCTGTGGAAATGCAAAATAAGTAGTTTATACATCATACTTAAGATAAGACAAAGAGACAAGAAACCACATGAAGGGGCATACACTCTGGAACATCCGTTCTTGTTGGCACCGCAATTTGCAGCAAAACCACTTTGTCACGCCAACTTGGGTTTTCCTCAAGAAACTTTTCAAATGCCAGTATCTTTTGTGGAATTCCTTTAATCATATCAAGGCGATCGACACCTAACATTACCTGTAATGAAGAATGTTAACAGAATTAAAGTGCTATATTTCATTTAACACTAAACTTTGTGCAATGATAAAAATTACACAAAACCTCAAAGGATAAAATACCAAAAACCAAAAAAGGAGCAGGTAGTAATTAGATAGATACAGACCGCAGCCACTCGAGTAAGCCTCCCTTGATCCTCTACTCCTTCAGGTGTACCCTCAAGTCCAAGAATGCGAGTGCAAGCACTAACAAAGTGCCGTGCATAGTCATAAGTGTGGAAACTGAAAAGAAAAAAAAAAAACTTTATAATCATTTGCATATTAGGTTTTTATGATGTAAACAGAATTAAATAATCTATCAGGACAACATTTTACCAATTATCCCCAACAAAGTAAATCGTATAACATGTTCGTTATTGATGCAGAATGTAACCAATAATTACCCGACTAAATCAGCTGCAAGAACTGAACGGAGAAGCTCTGATCGTGATGGCAGTGTCCTATGGATTTCAGAAGAAGGAAATGGGGTGTGGAGAAACCAACCAACTTTCATTTTGCTGTTGTAATCCTTCAGGAATTTTGGAAGAAACATAAGATGGTAATCATGGCACCAAACTACATCACCCTCCAAATAGTGCTCATTGACCACATCAGCAAACATTTGATTTGCCTTCTTATATGCAGCAAACTGCGACTGGAAACTCCGGGTGGTGGCAAGTCGATCTTCTTGTGGAAGTCCAAGGTAATGGAAAAGGGGCCACAAAATGTTGTTGCAATATCCATTGTAATATTGATCAACAATCTCCTCATCAAGAAAAACAGGGATACACCTCTGCAAGGAACACAACAACCATCAGTTGGACAGTGAAGTTACAAAGTTTATGCACATTTACCTCAGAGACAAAACCATATACATAAGCAATCAGTGAAATGATCTGGATCTTTCAGTTTAAAAAAATTCAGATATAGAAATTTGAACCTTCTCAGCTAGAGCTTTAGTAAGTGACTTCTGCCCAATTTCATCTGGCACATTTACCCCTGCCCAACCAATCCACTTTGCTTCAAAGTCCTTTACACCTTTGGCAAAACCATCCAGTACAAATTAGGTTTGTCTTTTTGCAGGTAAAGAAATACCACATTAAAATGAAAAAATATATTAACACTAATGGAAATCCTATCCCCTTAAGAAAATGATAAACATGGATACATAAACTTCAATAAAGGGTTGAAGACTTTAAACTGAACAACAATATTTAATGAAGACTTAAGACATCACATACCTAAAAGGGCACTGACCAGACCCCCAGCACTTACGTCCAGAGACCATGAATCTTCACCTCTCCTAACAGCAGAGACGGGTAACCTGTTGGCGACAACCAACAGTCGTTGTCGTTGTTTGAGAGGCCGCCCTTCTTGCTTTTCACATCCATCAGTAAGCGCCCTCGCAGCTGCAGCCCCTTCCAAGAATTGTTCAACATAGGCAACTTTTGAGTTTTCATCTTCTCTTAACTGCAAGTCAGGCTCAAATGGTTGAGTCACCCTATTGTTATCATTTGCTTCATTCAAGTGGGAGGCCCTGCTATTCTTCCTTAGCTCCCTTTCTCTCAAGAGCCGTTCAACTCGATTTGGGATGCGGGATGAATTACTGTTGTACTTGTCCCCAGGCATATGCTCTTCTAGTAATGAACCTTCGGTTCTACTAATATTAGCACTAGGGTCCTGGAGCAACTGTGTCCTACATTTCGATTATGCAAACTAAGTCATCAATCAGCATCATTGACCAAACAAAAGCTCACATTTGGGTGTTAAGAGCAAAAAATCGTAAGTAATGACAAGCAGGTCAAGTGATAGGGATGCAAAGAACGGGATAGCAAGAAAATGGGGTCTAGCACTCTCTCTTGGTCTACTAAACTAGAAAGTTGAAACCTCACATTCTTAAAATCAACATGGAAAAATGTTAAAAAGCATAAAGGGAAAAGACTAAAAATGAAAGTAGGCAGACAGGAAATGACAGAAAAGAAAATCCACTGCAAAGCTGGTGACAGAGTTCTCAGCGGGTGTTCGGCATTCCAACTCTGGCAGGTTCATTCAGATGAAACAACAAATACGGAAAATACAAACGTACAGAAACTTTTAGTTTGCTGAACTAAGAAAGCAATACCATATACTTATTTCTGTTAGAAACAGCATAAACCAAAGACAAATAGAAAGCCTACTTCTTCAATCATACTAGAAAAAACAAGTCTTTAAAGAAACAAGGACCTCACCTCCTTCCGAGTTTTAGTCAAATATGTCAGTGTTTGGAGATGGCTGTGTCAACTGAACCCCAGTCAATGGTTTATATAGAAAGATGGAAGGGAGAGAAATGGCGATCTCCAAAATCTGAACGGTAGAGAATTAACGTAGTGAGAGAAAAAAAAGAGGAAGCAATACAATCCGTTTGTAAGCGTTACAAGATACAGAAAATCTTACAGCCATGCAGGAGATAGAATGACGTTGGAAAAAGAAAAGATTTTACCCAAAGAACCGAAAAGGAAGCAAACAGAGTATTAGCAACTAAATTAACTCAGAGAAGCAATTGTTTTAATGCACAATATGTATCTTCTTCACTGTCAATATCTCAATGGTTTATATAGAAAGATGGAAGGGAGAGAAATGGCGATCTCCAAAATCTGAACGGTAGAGAATTAACGTAGTGAGAGAAAAAAAGAGGAAGCAATACAATCCGTTTGTAAGCGTTACAAGATACAGAAAATCTTACAGCCATGCAGGAGATAGAATGACGTTGGAAAAAGAAAAGATTTTACCCAAAGAACCGAAAAGGAAGCAAACAGAGTATTAGCAACTAAATTAACTCAGAGAAGCAATTGTTTTAATGCACAATATGTATCTTCTTCACTGTCAATATCTTGTCTAATTGCTATATTTGCAATTTTCTATAATAGAAGCGATAATCGGGGAGGGATGAACAAGGTCATTAAGATTCTCATTATAGGTAAGTTCTCTATCAACATAAACTCAGTTTTTTTTTTTTTGCCATTTTTCTTTGGGCCTGAAATTTGAAGATAATTTCTGCCGCTTGTATAATTCTACTTTAAATCAACACATTTATGTGACGATTGTCCTTTTCCTTTTGAAAGATCTTTGGAAAATGAGATTTTTTTTTTTTTTGGGTATGTAAATGAACGAACAAAATTCTTGCTAAAGACCAACCGAAGACAACTGGAAATCACTTTATTGCATTTCCTTTTTGTTACATCATTTCCCACTTTCGGTCACACGATATAACTAAAGATGTGGCCTGATTGATATTTTCCATTCGTTATTTTCTTTATTACAAATTATATCAACAAAAACACACAGCAACCTTATGAATTTACAGAAATAAAGTCCACCAAATTGAATCCCAAACAATCTGGAATTTAAGAATATAACAAATTAATTGCCCTATTAACAGTCCGAATAAATATTGAAATTTTTGGATTCTATCTACATGAATGCCCTTCTTAATTAGTTATTCCCTAAAACCAATAGCATAATAACCATATGCGTTCGTCTCTAACTCGTCACAAGATCTAAGCAGGTTCAACAAATCAAACCCAAACAGGGGCAGAGCATATCTTAATTGGGAGGGCCATTACACATCTTAGAACAGTACATAGAGCTACATGTATGTCGGGGCCACTGGTCACTATTAGTCCTTTGGCGTGGTTGTAGTGCCACATGACATTTTCTAGTAGACCAGCATATAAAAAGTAAGAAAAGACTTGCACATGTATAAAATGTATTGATGGGTTTTAAGAAAAATAATAGTTTGTGTATTTATGTTAGTGCTTAAATACACAATATGGAATGTCACACCTGGGCGCGCATCATGCATGGCAATGCAAAAAGTCACTTGTTCAAATTATAATAATTGTTATAAAATAAAATAATCAAAGTATGGAAATTACCACTGAATATTGGGAGTAGAATTGTATTTAGTTCTTGTGGTTTTACACTGACAGAACTTTCTTTACTGATAGAGCTCTCATACTCTCAGGATTCTTACTCACTTTTTCTTAAATTTCTCTCTGAATTGTATTTAGTTCTTGTGGTTTTACACTGACAGAACTTTCTTTACTGATAGAGCTCTCATACTCTCAGGATTCTTACTCACTCTTTCTTAAATTTCTCTCTGAATTGGTTGTTTCATTTACAACTGAGGGAGAATCCTATTTATAGGCAATTAGAATGGCCTCCCGTGAAAGCATCTTCAAGAATTTACCCCAACATAATTATTGCCCTTTTGACTATTACATTATGTGGGCTTGGTCTTTACTAACTTTATGACTGTTTGGTCTCCACCGACTTTACAATACTCCCCCTTGGAGACCACGAATCCCTTAATTGGTTGCCTCATTAAAACCTTGCTTGGAAAAACTCAGTGGGAAAAAATCTAAGCGAAGGGAAAAAGAGTACAACATCATTTGGGACATTAGGGTAATGTGAAGTGCGCTCATATTACCTCATTAAAACCTTGCCAGGAAAAACCCAGTGGGAAAAACCCTAGTCGAAGGAAAAAGAGTACAATGCACTTATGTCCTTTGTTAGAGGACTCTTGAATGCTCCCCCTGATTTTGCATGCTCTAATTTGATTGCTTGCAGAGTTGTCGCAATCCGATGCCATGCACTAGCTTCTGGAATGTGCATTTGGGTAAAGACTTGGTGAAGAGATCTGCCAAGTTATCTCTTGAACGGATTTGTCTGACTTTGATTTCTTGACTCTTCTGAAGCTCATGCGTGTAGAAAAACTTGGGTGATATGTGCTTGGTCTGGTCACCCTTGATGTACCCTCCTGTGATTTGAGCAATACAAGCTGCATTGTCCTCATTCAGGATGGTTAGAGTGTCCGTTGTTGAGGGCAAGGCACAGGTGCTTCGGATGTGATGAATCATTGACCTTAACCAAACGCATTCACGACTGGCTTCATGGAGGGCAAGTATTTCTGA